GGCAACCGATTTCGGAACCAAAGCCAAGGTACAATTCAGGCTACCCTTCTTTTCGTTTTTCCTTTTTTTCTTTAAGAATTTGACAGGAGCATATTTCTTTTTTTTCAGAAAATTAAAACCCCAATATTGTTCTCATATTTTTATTAAAAAAAACTCGTTTTTAATTGCTTAACTTTCAAAAACTCTTTTTTGATCCTAAAAATTTATTTTTTCACCTTTTTTTTCCTTTGTCGATTAAGTGATAATGTGACACTATTTTCCGTTAAGTATATAACATTTTTTAATTGTTAATGTTGATATATGGAAATTAAAATGGCCACATGTCACACATTTAAATGTTGATGTGACAAATTTAAAGAAAAAAAATTATAACATCATAAAATTACAACAATGCCCTTAAATTCATCTTCAACCTCCAAACTCTCTCTCTTCCTCTACATCCCTTTGACAAAATTACAACAATTCCTTCGCTTTCTTTTCCTCTTAACAATCAACTATCTCTCTTCTTCTACATCAATGCCTGCAAATTGTAGTTTCATTCCAAAAAAAAAAGGGGCGTAAATGCTTGCTTTAACACCATATTTTCCCTCAACTCCTAAGAAAACCTATAAACTAGATTGGGGTTCGTGGGTTTGGAGAGAAGAGAAGATCAAATCTGGGTTTTGGTCTTGTTGGGATGGTGAGATCGAAGAGATTCATGATCTGGGTATGTGGTTATCTTTCTAACTTTTTAGTGTTGATTCTTCTCCTGGGTTTTAAAAATGTAATTTTAATTTATACTAAGTTATAGATATTTTAATTTGTTTAATTTGTCATATCCACATTTAATGTGTTAGGAGGTAGACATTTTAATTTCTATGTCAACAATAGTATAATTAAAAATTATATACTTAACAAAAAATATTGTCACACCACATAACTTAATTGATAATTTTTATCTTCATCTGACCTAATTTTTAAAAAATGGACTCTGCCAACTCTCCCAATTCTCTCACACCTAATAGTCAAGAAGCCGACCTCCTTGCTCGCAGTATCAAACGAATCAAGGAGGACCCTCCCCCTGCACCTATTCAAGATGCTACCATGTCTAATAATGCAGGTAGTGCTCTTGCACCCACAACCGCTCTCCAGTCTAATGTTCTAATGGACGCCCCTCAGGCTCAGGCTCAGGCTTAGCCGGCAAACCATCCACAACCGTTATCTTATCGTGATAAACTTCTTTTAGAAGAGAAATCATCAGGCATCTCCTTTGCCACTATCCCAAGCTACTTGGAGGAAGATTCAGACGTTGACGATGATCCGGAGAGTGAGGTGCCTATTATACTGCTGTCTAAAGCAGAGAAGAGGCGTATCAGGGAACCGTGGGCTAACTCTTTGATTATTAAGGCATATGCTCCCAAACCAGTTGGCTACAACTTCTTGTATCCGCATATCAAAGCTCAATGGAAACCACTGGGTAAATGGGACTTCATTGAGCTTGGGAATGACTTCTTTTTGGTTCGCTTATAGGATGAAGAAGATCTAAAGCGGGTAATATTTGGAGGACCATGGTTCGTGGGCCCTTACTATCTCACCATTCAGCGTTGGGAACCCAATTTTGATCCTATGTTAGCTACTTTCTCCACTACCGCAATCTGGGCTAGGTTGCCGCATTTATCAGCAGATCATTATGATCCCATTACTCTGGAGAAAATCGGCAACAAAATTGGTACCCTTCTTTGAGTAGACGCCCATACAGCACACCATACACGAGGACAATATGCTCGTGTGTGTGTTCAAGTTGACTTGGGGATGAAACTTGTTCACTCAGTTAGAATTGGCAAGAAATTTCAAAAAGTGGTTTATGAGGGTGTGGATGCTTTATGTTTCTCCTGTGGCCGTATCGGCCATAGACGAAATCAATGCCTCTCTGTCCATCATAAAGCCACCTCTCCCCAGAGCATTAATATTAAGGACAGTAGATAGTGTCAATCCTCCGATGAGAATGGCTCAAATAACAAGCTTCATTCAGATTCCCATATACCCAACCCAAGTACCTCTGAAGATTCTATGGCTCTCCAATTGAGTGATAGAGTTCTTGATCAGTACGGGCCTTGGATGCTTGTCGAAAGGAGGAAACCTCGTCGAAACAATCGTAAGTACAGTAATTCCGATAAACCTGAACCATCGGTGTTAGCTAACTCCCACATTCCAATGGACAAGAATGAACCTACGGCCCCGACCCGCAAGCATAGTTCGAAAGGCCCAACTGGTTCACAAGGTTCAAAATCCATTCAAACCAACGGGAAAGTGTCAGAAGCATTTAATGAGAAGGCCATTGTAACAACTACTGGTAGTTCCCATAGCAACCCTACACTCCCCCTAGCTAATTCCAGTAAACCCACTTCCAAGTCTGCCAACAAGGTCCCCCATAAGCAGCCTTCTCCTAGTTTGGTTCCTAAACCCAATGGCCCACCCAAGGCCCAAGTCTACAAACCTAAATCCACTAACATTGTTGATACTTCCAAGCCCATCCCCACACTTGGCATGTTTGCAAACCCACCTGACTTACATCCCCCGATGGAGTCTTCCCCAACATCCAACCCCCCTCCCTCACCCAACCCCCCTGTTCCTCCTTTTAACTCACAACCCCCGTCTTCCTTCTCTTTAGCCCCTCTCCCCTTTCAGTCCGATGAACACCCCACCCTTATTCCCACACATCCAACTGTGGGAAATTTTCTTACTATCCAATGGAGATCTAATTCCATTCAATCAAGCCCTCAACAAGATGTTTCATTACCCACCTCTGAGAACCCCTTGTTGGTCAGAACCAAGGATCTTTGTAGCTTGGAGAAATCCTCTAGTGGTTAACAAACTCTTTTTTCCCAAGGATTTTCTTCATCTCCTCTCGACACTGATAACAAATCTAACTTTTTAGAACGACCAATGTCATATTCAAGAACTCATGTCTACCGAAAGCACCATAAGCCTCAGGGAGATCATCACCCCTATTATGCCTCAGAAGCTCATAGCATATCCTCTCGTCCGCCACATTCGCTCGACGTTATTCAAGGGACCGATGGGGAACATCCACATTCATTGCAGATGGTACTAGACATTGGAAACAAGGGAATAGATGGAATATCAAACATACCTCCTCCCATTGTTCTTTCCACGAGCGATGATGATGATCAAGGCAGAAGATCAACCGAGCCCCATTATGAATGCAGCCTTGGCCAGGACGCTCCTCAGGGCCAATAACTCTCGTGTTTGGTCAACGAAGATCATATCTTGGAACTATCGCAGTGCAGCCAAGCAAAGCTTTCAATCAAATGCTATGGATCTCAAAAGAATTCATAACCCCTGCATCATGTTGATCTTAGAAACTAAAATTAGCGGGGACCAGGCTATTGCTAAAGCTAGGGCACTGGACTTTCCCCACTTTCACTGTGTGGACTCTGATGGGTTAGCAGGAGGCCTCTGGATCCTTTGGAATGATAGCAAGGTTACCCTTGACATTGTTTCTACTAATGCTCAAGCTATTCATGCCACTGTTAAGGTACGCAATCATCCCTCCCTTTCCTCTGATACTTGGTTTCTTTCTGGCATTTACGGTAAACCTGTTTATGAGATAAGGTCTATACTTTGGCAAGAACTTCGCTATCTCTCCACAATGATCTCTTGCTCATGGATTCTTATTGGAGACTTTAACGATGTCATCGATCAATCCAAAAAATTTGGGGGTGGCATGGTTTGCCGAAGTAGGGTGTGTTCCTATCTTAATTGCATGAATGACTGCCACATGTAGGACATTGGTTATATCGGGCCTAAATTTACTTGGCTTAACATGAGGAATAACCATCAACTTATTAAGGAATGCTTGGATCGAGCTTGGGCTAACCCAGACTGGTGGCTTTTTTTTCCAGAAGCTAATCTATATTACCTTCCTAGATTTAATTCTGATCATCATCCCATCATGCTGGATCTCTGTCCTAATCTGTCCCGAATGGGACCTAGACCATTTCGTATGGAAAAGTTCTGGCTTGATCATCATGATTTCAGTCAAGTCATCTCTCCCATTTGGTCTGTAACCAATACTAATTCTACTGAATCCCTTGCACCGATTGTCGCTGCCTCTAAGCAGTGGAGCAAGGCTGTTTTTAGAAATATCTTTGAGGATAAGAAATCTATTATCAAAAGGCTCAATGGGATTTATCGTTCTCCTGCTTTTCCTCACAGCTCCTTTTTGGTTCATCTTGAGAGACAACTTTCTAAGGAGTATGAGAATATTCTTAAGATGGAAAAGGATTTGTGGTTTATGAAGTCGAGATCTAATTGGTTGATTGAGGGTGATCGCAACACTAAATTTTTTCACATATCAACTGTTCATCACAGGGCCAGAAATAGGATTTTGGGTCTAAAGGATTCCACTGGCAATTGGATCTTTGACCCTCTTGCACTATCTACTCTCATTATGAATTATTTCTCTGGTTTGTTCACCACCTTGCATGAGCTCTCTTACTCTAATTCTTTTGCAAGTATTGATGTTTCCCCTCGAGCCATCCCCCTTGAGTCCCTCCAGGGTGTCTCTACTAAGGATGAAATTTGGGCCGCCTTACATTCCATCAAACCCTTTAAAGCCTCTGGACCTGATGGTGTCCACCCTTTATTCTTCGAGAAGTTTTGGGATATTACTAAGGATAAACTTTGTACTGATATTGTTCAAATTTTCTCTAGCGGGATTATTCCCTCCTCTTGGAATGAAAGTTTAGTTGTTCTTATCCCTAAGAATACCTCTCCGATCTCAATCCAAGAGTTTAGGCCCATTGGTTTGTGCAACGCTACTTACAAAGTAGTGTCTAAAATCCTTGTTAATAGGCTCAAACCTTGGATGGATAAACTTATCTCTCCTTGCCAATCTAGTTTTATCTCTGGGCGCCAAGGGTGTGACAATGTGCTGATTTTTCAGGAATTGGTTCACTCCTTCACCAAGAAAAATGGGGCACGAGGTGACTTTATTATTAAACTTGATCTTGAAAAGCATATGATAGGTTGGAATGGTGTTTTATCCGTGAGGCCCTTTGTTTTTTTTAATTTTCCTCCCTCCATTATTAAACTTATCATGTCTTGTGTCTACACTACCACCATTTCTGTTATTATAAATGGTGATCGATCTGATTTCATCACTCCTTCAAGAGGCATTGGTCAGGGAGATCCCCTTTCCCCTTATATTTTTATTCTGTGCATGGAATTTTTGGCTATTAAGATTTCCATTGACATGAATGCAAGTCTTTGGAAAGGCTCCAAAGCTGGTCGCAAGGGGCCTCTTTTATCTCACTTGTTTTTTGCAGATGATATCATATTTGTGGGCAAAGCCACCCAAGAAAAATGCAATTATCTTAGGTCTCTGCTCCAATTCTTCTGCTCTATAGATCTAACAAAAAAATCAATCTTCAAAAGTCTCCGGTCTTGTTTTCAAATAATGTGGATCCTACTACTCGAGACTTTCTTTGCTCTATGCTTGGCATTTCTAAAACCAAGGACTTGGGGAAATATCTGGGTGTCCCCATATCTCATAGAAAACTTAAGAAAACGAAATGCCAATTTATTGTTGATAAAGTTCGTAAGAAACTTGCTAACTGGAAGACTAACTTCTTTTCCTTTGCAGGTCGAGTTACCCTCACCAAGTCCGTTCTAGAAGCTGTCCCAAATTATTACATGTAGTCCTCCCTTCTGCCTACTTCTATTCATCGAGAACTGGACCAAATTTCACGCAACTTCATATGGGGCTCTTGAACTGGAGAACTATTTGTTTTCGAAGCGCCTAGGTGGCCTTGGGCTTAAAAGTTCACGGGAAACTAACATTGTTTCTATGTGTAAACTGAACTGGAAGCTTCACATTGAGAAGGATAAGCTATGGTAAAAAATCTTCTGCTATAAATACTCTATCATGGATCCCCGAGCCCCCTACCCATTGCTAGCTCCCCTGTCATCAAAGGATTACAAGAAGGGCGTACTCTTTTCCAACAAAGGTTGAAATGGATTCCTTGTAATGGCAATACTATTAGCTTCTGGAATGATTATTGGTGTGGCGATTGACCATTGTCTGAGGTCTTAGCCGGTCTACACCTTCCTCATTCAAATTCTCTTTTGCTTTCTCATGCTCTGGAAAGCTCCTCCCTTCATACCATATCTTACCACCTTCCTCGGAACATTTGGGATCAGATTAGAGCTATACCTTTGTCCCTTGAAAATCTGGATACTGATATTTTTACTTGGGCTCATGGCCAAGGTAGAAACTTCTCCTCATCTTCGGCCTACTGTTTGCTGCTTAAGCTTCCTTCTAAAGGTGTCAATGAATGGAACTGGGTTTGGAAGACTAACACCTTACCAAAAATTCAACATTTCCTCTGGCTCCTCTCCCATAAGAGATTAAATCTCTTAACTTTCTTCAACGCCTGGGTATATGTTCATCCTCTGTATGCCCCAGATGCCAAAGTTATGATGAGACCATCAACCATATCTTCAGGACCTGCTCCAGCTCTGTTTCTTTGTGGAATGACATTCTCCCTGGAGCTATAGTGTCTAATGATGACACTCCATTTCTGCAATGGTTACATAACAATTCGGCACGTTCTGACGATGCTTTGACCACTCCTGTTGCATGGGGCACACTTTTTTCCTTTATTATCTGGGGAATCTGGATTTTCAAAAATCATGTCTTATACCGACATGAGAATATTAACACATAAACCTTTTGTAACTCTATCTGCTTTAGGGCCATTGAATTTTGGTCCTCTCACCAGATTCCCCAAAGTCTCTACCAAAGAACTCACGGGATGTTTGCTTGGTCTAAACCGCACTTTCCCACCATCAAGCTTAACACCGATGGTTCCTCCATTGGGAACCCAAGTTTATCGGGGTCTGGGGGTATCTTAAAGGACTCTTTAGGCAATTGGGTTCTTGGTTATGCTAGGAATATTGGTTTCTCTTCCCCTCTTGCTGCTGAGTTATGGGCCATAAGAGATGGTCTTGTTTTGGCCATCCAAAGGGGCTTCCATAATTTAATTGTGGAAAGTGACTCAAAGGTTGCTGTCCTTCTTCTCACGAAAGGTTGTGTTTCCACTCACCCTCACAGCACTTTAATTCTTGATTGCAGGATGCTCATGCAGAAAATTCATCAGATACACTTGGTCAACATTGTGCGTGAACGCAATATGTGTGCAGATCAGCTGGCAAAAATGGGGATGCCGCTTTCTTCTTCTTTTTGTATTTTTGAATTTTGTCCACCAGCTGTTGCTGGTTTATGCCTTGCGGATGCCTATGGGGCTCAGTATGTTAGACCCCCTTGATCCTTTGTAGTTGTATCTTTCCCCTTTTACCAAAAAAACATAACTTAATTGATGGAGGGAAAAAAAAGATAAAAAAATAAACTTTAAGAATTGCAAAGGGGTTTTTTAAAAGAACAATTATACATACACCCAAACAATCAACACCCATCTTAACACCCAAGGCTTATGAATAGTAAAATTACACATTTACCCCTCCTCATTTTAACCTTGGGTGTTGAGATGGATGTTGATTGTTTTGGTGTATGTATAATTGTCCTTTTTAAAATTGAGAGATTAAAAACAGGTTTTTTTTATCAAAGTATAGGACCAAATTTGCGTTTTAAGTTTTAACCTTTGGACAATTGGAATTTGAAGAGTGAGGAAAGTCTTAATGATACCTTGAACTTTTATCACATGAACAAATTGGTACCTGGTGGTTATATTTAATTTTGATCCGATGGTTTTTGAGCCATTGATTGGGTTGATTTCGTGTTTGAACAAAGGTTTCACTTTGTAATTTATAGTATATTTGGTTTGAAACGAGGGATGAAAATTCTTCTCTATGGTTAGCAAAAAATTTAGAGGGGAGAGAGGGAAGAGGAGCAAAATCTTTTACTTCATTTTTAACTTTAATTCTTTCAAATTTGCAGTGGGGAGGGGGAAGAAAACAGAGAAATAGAAAGATTCCGTATTAAAAAATTTATATTAATAAAACTTAATATCAAATATAAATTAATTGATTCAAAACTAATTCAGTTACAAGTAATATTCTTCTGAAAATCC